TTATGTTTTTATTGCATAAACCCCTTGTGAAAACACAATTTTAGGGCATTCCCATACTGATAAGTTCTTTCATTTATGTCCACTTGACAAATGGCTGCTGTTAAAAGGTAAAAACTGCATTTTTAGTCAGTTTGCAGCTTAAAAAACGGGTCAGATCCTTATGGTGGTATATATTATATTATATAAACACACAGAGCAGCTAAACGCACACAAAATGTTAAATGCACACAAAGCAAATCAGAGTTGGACAAAATGATCAGAGTTGGTTTTATTTTATCTCTAATTTAAAACATCAAACTGTAGAGTGGGAAGTTTTTGGAAAAATTAATATATGAATATAAATAAATCTATGGATATAAATAAATATTTGGATATAAATAAATATATGGATATATGTGGATAGTTATAAGGACTGAAAAAAATGGTTAGCTTCTCATCTGAGAACATTTTAAATCCCTCTTACTGTGAAAACTGAGTCCAGATGGAAGGACCGAACTGCTTTGTCCTACACTGTGTGAGTCCCCTGAAAGCACCATCGGGGGGGAGGCAGCCCAGGGTAAAACGAGGAGGAAAAACCCTCTGAAGGTCACTGGCTGATGTTAGAACACGTGTGAGGCTTCACTGCTGCCTGATCTCCATGTTCCCAACCGGGAAGCCAACAGGGCCCAATCAGAGCAAAGCTCCCAGGAATTAGCCCAACCCTGAACCCACCGCTGGACTGTTTAAAGACTCACATCTACTCACATGTCCCAGGAATTAGCCCGACCCTGAACCCACCGTTGGACTGTTTAAAGACTCACATCTACTCACATGTCCCAGGAATTAGCCTGACCCTGAACCCAAAGTTGGACGGTTTAAAGACTCACATGGCCCAGAAGTTGTGACTAAATATTCACATGTTAGTTTTGGGACATTTTTTAAATCAGCCGGGATGGAAAACAACCTATTTGGCAAATATAAAAAAAAAGGGTGAAACCACCAACTGACCACTTAGTTTTCATTGTTTCATTTACTTTAGAAGAGCAAAAGTCTTTGTAAAGTCCATGAAGCGATTTCTGAAACGTCTGATAAAACATTGTCACGTAAGAAGAAACTTGCATACGTTTTCAATAGTTTTCAGTGAAGCCAAACAGTTTTTAAACCTTTCTGACTTCTTAATGTTCAGACGTTGGAGAGTTCCTGTTCTTGGTCTTGTCATTTCCTGTTTTATTTTGAAACAGCAGCTCTTGTTTCGGGCCACTTCCTCTCCTGATTCCTGATTGCTTCCACCTGCTCCTGTTTCCCCTCATGTCTTTTTATTGGGTCTCCTTTTGTTTTTGCCAGAGTTTTTTTGCTTTTCAGGTGTTTTTCCAAGTTAAACGAGTCACAGTCTTGTTCTGGTTTGTGTTTTCTCCAAGTGAGAGCTTTATTTTGTCATCTTTTAATAGCTTTTTGTCAGTTTCAGAGTCTGTTTTATAGCTTCTCTCTGTTTTTGAGAGCAATTCATTATTTTGCTTAAAGCTTGTAGTTTTTGTGATTAGCAGAGCGATTTTGGTTTATAGTTAGCATTTCTTAGCTCTGTCTGGGCTCTGTTAAAGGACAGGTTCTCAGTTTTTGTCTTTCATAGTTTATAGATATCCTAACAAATCAGTAAAGATCTTTTT